TGCATAAATTCCATTCAAACACAGGATTCTGTCTGGTCAGTGTCAGCTTCTTCCTCATAATCCTAACAGTGTCATCCTGCCCGAGCGGGGCAGGAAGAAGTTCATTTCTCCTGAAAATGGAGCAATAAATTCTCTTTCTCTGAAAGATTCGGGTGTCCTGTGGCTGCTATCTTGGAGTCCTTTCTTTAGAAAATAAAGTATCCTACATAGCATAGTTTCTACTTTAACATTTTGTTATAACCTAAAACTATATTTAACACATTACTTAAGAGAAATTAATACAGCATAACTTTCTAACGCAACACATACCATATTAATTTTAATATTTGCAACAAGCCAGTCATAAAATACATATTTTTCACAGTGCCTTTGGAGGCCTTTGGGACAAGGTGCGGCTGGGGAAGCTGGTAGCATTGCAGATTTTATAAATAAAAATCAAAGCTGCTTTGGAAAGTAGTAGAATTTTAAAATCACGGTGTATTGAGGTAGAAGGGACCCCAGAGGGATCACCCAGTGCAGCACAGACACCCCAACAATCCCACCTGGGCATCCCTGGAATGTTGTCCAAACTCCTGGACAAGTCCTCGGGGCCGTGCCCATTCCCAGCACCCTCTGAAGAAGAACCTTTCCCTAAATCCAGCCTGAACCCCTCCAGCCATTCATTCCCTCAGTCCTGGGCACCCCGAGCTCAGATCAGAGCCTGCCCTGCTCCACCCCTCACTCACATGAGACTGCAATGAATGAGCTCTCCTCACTCTTCTGCAGAGATTTTGTGATTAATCAATAAGCACTAAAAGGTTTGAAGGAGGCATTCTGGGGTAAATCATAGCACAGATTTAAGTGGGCAAGGTTACTGTCCATGCAGAACTTCATTAAGCACCTCACTAACCTCTTTTTCTTTCCCTCTACTTTTTTTTTTTTTTCTTTTTTCCAGTACAGGAATGTTCATTACCAGAAGAGAACAGGAGATAATTTTTCCCAAGTAAAGTTTAAATTCAAAAGCAATGAAAAAAACATGGCTAGAAGAGGGTATATCCAGCAACAAGAGGAAAACAGCATTCAGGGGGATTTTTGGGAGATAAGAAATGCACTTAATGTAGCAAGTACAAGCAGGTGACAGCAGGAACACAGGGATTCAGCTTTTGAGCCTCCTAGAAAGTGATGAGTTATTTTCTCTGGTTCCTTAATATGGGAGGCACAAAGTATCATATCTAGACCACAAGTTTTTTTCTCAGCCCCCGGCTTCCAGTGAGGAAGAGGAAAATCAATTTCCACCACTCTTCCTCGTGCCTGTCCTTTCTCTGTCTGTGGAGAACTTCCTGCAGCTGCTCCTGTTGAGAGGGAGATGAATCCCTTCCTCTCACACATCAAAACCTGCTTCAAGAATTCCAAGTCCTGCTGAGCAGCACAACAAAATTAATATCCTTTAAAAAACCTGTCAGCAGCAGGGGTAGAAGTGAGGAGGGCCTTATGGTATAAATTAATTGCTCATCTTGGTTCTGGCCCTGCTTCAAGTGCACCTTCTTTTCCTCATCCAAAGGGATTTGTTCCTAGCTCAGGAATTGTTTATGGCATGTGATGGAAGATGAACAGATGATTTCAGGGCAGGAGGATTTCTGCTTTTGCCTGGAGCATCCTTCCCACCACAGTGTCTGTGAGTGTCATTGAATCACATCAGGTTTGTAGCTGCTAGAGGAAGGATTTGAACATGTAACTGCGACTAAAAATACACCTTGTTCTTATTAAACCTTTCCTGTTGGAACAGAAAGAACCAAGCTGCCCCCAAGACACCGAATTAATTTCTTACAACAATAGTCCAAGGCTTTTGGTACTTTTGGTACTTTTTTGGTACTCTGTTGGTGGAGTGCTGTGCGTGTGTGTTGCAGGTACTGCACGGACGAGATGCTGCAGAGGGAGATGATGTCCACGCCCCTGCTGAGCTGCTACAGCGTCATCGTCCTGGACGACGTGCACCAGAGGACTGTGGCCACCGATGCCCTGCTGGGCCTGCTGAAGGGGGTGCTGGCAGCCCGGGCAGAGCTGAGGCTGGTNGCACCTCAGTCCTGAGGTGCTGAGATCCCACAGAAACAGAGGCTCAGCAGGATCATCCAGTCCCAGGGAATAACTGAGGTGTCTGGGCAGGTAAAACACAGCCCTCATTCGGAAAAACAAAGTTCAGGTTAATTGCCAGCTCCAGATCTGGAGTGCAGAGGAGACATCGGGTCACAGACCAACCACACAAACAGAAGGAGGAAATATCAAAATACACCAGCACATATCTTTGTGTTAAAAGGGAAAATTATCAAAGCCTTCAGGACTAAAATAATTCAAGGTTAGGAGCAGCCCCTCCACTTCCAGCTGCAAAGATGCAGCTCCACATCCCACTGGAGAGATCTGGCATCAAAGAGTCTGGGCTGGGAAATAGGATGGAAGGAGGAACTGCTCTGGACAGCATCTGCTGGTTCTCATTTAACAACAATAAACTCTAATTCTGCTGTTAACAGGCAGGATGTCTCACCTTCACATTCCACAGGCTTTATTCACTACATTATAAAGTAAATTTAATCTAAACCCCTCTATTTAAACAACATTCTTAGGCTTAAAAAAAAAAGAAGTGACACCGTTAAATTGCCATTGCTATTGCAAAATATTTCTGCTGAAACAGGGGAGGAAAAATGGGGAAGGAAGATCTCTGTAATGCCACTGATAGCACAGATCAAATTCTTTTAAATTACACCCAGAAAATCCTCCTCTCCTGAAAGATTTAACAGCAAAGCTGCAAAGAGTAGCTGTGTATTAAGGAGTCTTTATTAAATATCCAGAATATGGTGTGTGGTATTTATTCCTTTCCTAGACAGCATTATCATCAGCACTTGCACAATAATATATAATTTATATCAATAGCAAAGTTCTCATTGATATCTTTGAAAGCAGCTTATACCTAATTTACTGAAAGCACTCATCTGCAGAGAGTGTTTTGTTATTCATTAGAATTAATTAAATCCTTCTGTATAATGTTAAAGCATACATCTTGTAAGTCCTTGAAGGCCTGGCTGAAAGGAAAAATAATTTTACAGGCTCTATTTTAGCAGAGATAAATAAAGTCAATCAGTCAACAACCTAGCATGATCACGAAAGGAAATCATGCTATTTTGAAACTAGTTTCAAATAATACATTTTCAAATAGTAAAATGTTCTTCTTGATTTGGTAACATTTTAATCTGCTTTCTTCTATTACACATACCAAAAAGGGAGAACAAAAAAAAAAAAAATTGCTGTGGTATGACAATTCAAATTTGTTCAGTGAAAAAAAAAAAAAAAAAAAATTGCTGTGGTATGACAATTCAAATTTGTTCAGTGAACCAGGAATATTGCTGTCCAATTCTCAGTGTTTAGGAGATGAGCCTGCACTGCAAATGAGGAAATCAGAGTGCTACTGCTGCTAAATATGTGAAAACCAAGGAAAATGCAGGGTAATAGCAAATCATGTGTTTGCTTCAAGAGGTTTTAATATTAATTTTACCCTGAAAAATCCTTAATGTTGTTTTAAGATGACTTTTGTGGGATTGAAGTCCCAATCCCCTCCTGACGTTTCTGCCTTACTGAGTAATTTGGGGCCCATTTATTTGGCAGAGGCAGAGACTCCAAAGGCAGGGACTTTGTAACAACAAGCAGGGAGGGATGGAACACAAAATCAGACAAACAGGGTGCATTAGAGGGACCCATGAAGGTCAGAGGAAAAGTGGAATCCAAATGCAGCAGAACAGCCAAACTGAGCATGAAAACTGGACATTATCAGCACCCTGGTGATAACTGCTCTCTGGAACTAAAATAAAAAGTGTTATTTCATATTTGTCTTACAGCACAGCTCAGCCAAGCTTAGGAAGCTATTTTGCTACTTTTGAGTCCTCAGAGTTGGAGTTACTTTACATCAATAATGTTTTTTCTTCCACCACCTTCCAAGGCCACTTCTGGTGCCCTTGAAGAACTAGAACTGGGAATTTTTCATGTATTAAGTGTATTTTAACTGCAGCAAAAGCTGCTAAAGCCTCCCAAGACCTCCGGGTTCATCCACAGAGTGCAATAAAAAGAGTTTTTGGCACAGTGACTCACTGGAGGCCAGCACAGAGCACAAAGGCAGAGCCTGCCCGTGGCTGCAGCACCCAGGGGCGCAGCTTTGTGCAGGGATTAGCTCCCACAGGCCAGCCCTGCAATCCCAGCCAGAGCTCCAGAGGCTCCCCCAGCAGCCACAAAGGTCAGGCTCAGCTGCTCTGCCCAATTATTCCCCAGCCTGGACAAGAGCAAACACTGGCACTCACGGGCTGGACTCAATGCTGAACTGCAAAATCTGCCCAGCTTCTCTTTCTGCTTCCATTGCTGCCATTTGGAAGATTTTTGGGTGATTATTTTTTTAAAATATATATTTTTTTCCAGGCTCACTGGGGTTGTTAAACCACCCAGAGTGGGACAAGCAGACCACAAAGGCAGCTGGACACCAAGCCTGGACTTTTAAACCCAAGAGCTGTGAAATACTAATCCTGGAGCGAGGAAAAATGGATTTGCTCAGGTTTAGGGGGCCAAAATGATCAATCAGCACACAAAGGACTCCTTCCATCACTAATGTGCTTTTGCTGGGAATAATATATGTAAGGAAAATGGAGTTTTTAACCTTTTCTCCAGAGAACCACTGCTTCTCAGAATTACTCGACGGCAGCGACGGGGATGAAGAGGAAATTCTTGTCTGTGGAGAAGATTTAGAGCTTAATCCTTTTGATGGCTTGCCTTACTCCTCCCGTTACTACAGACTGATGAAGGAGAGAGAAGAGCTTCCAATATGGCAGGAAAAATGTACTTTCATGGAAACTCTGCTTCATAATCAAATTGTGATTGTGTCAGGAGATGCTAAGACTGGCAAGAGCTCCCAGGTCAGTACAACAGACTTGGTTGGGGTTTTTTAATGTATTTTTGAAACATTTAATGAGGTGTGAATTTCAGAGTCGCTGTAACTATTGTAATCCAAGTATTAAGGCCAGAAAGGGAAAGTGAAATGCAGAAGGTGAATAAAGATTAATGGAGTCAAGTACAGATTTAAAATATATTAAACATTTTAATAACTTTCTTCAAGCCCTCAAAAAAAATTGAAGTTACTCTGTGTTTTGGTTCTGGTTAATGCTGTATCAGGAAAGAAATACAGGGGGATTTGTCATAAGATAAAGTGACAAAACATTCGCAGGGAATGAAGGATTGAAATCAGCAGGGCTGATTCTCCGGGAGAATTAATGGTCTTTCACCCTCTTCAGCCAGGAGCAAATGTTCTCTCCAACAGCACAAAATTACTTTACAAAACTCCTGTTAAAAGAAACCACTGAAGCCACAATCTCAGCTGAGTCTAAGCTCACAAGTATCAGTCAGACTATGAAATTCTGCTTTACCAATATATAACAAGCCAGCTCTGTTGTCACAGAGAGTAGAAAAGAATTTTCAAGTAAGTGCTATCAGCCAAAATACTGTTGTTTATGACTGGGATCAGGAGAAAAATTTCTTGCAGGTAGAGCTGCAGGATAATTATTGTTTCAGGGCATCTCATATATCCTAGACTTCAATGCTGGACACTTCTAGAGATCACATTTTAAACTAGACACATCACACCTCTCCCTGAAAACTCCTATGTTCCCATAAAAATGATTCACATCCATATAATTTTTGAAGTGCCAAGTTTTTACCCTTGTTATTGCCTATAATTTACACACAAAAAACTGGTCTAATAGTAAACAACTTGCTAAGAAATGTTAGCTTTTAAACTGTCCTTTAACAAGGCAAATTTTATGGAACCTTCAATAAGATGTAGCACATTGTTGGTTGGTTTTTAAACATTTCTAGAAATGTGTATAACTATACAGAAATAAATTATATGTGGCTGATGCGCCTAGGTTTAGATGTTGATTCAATGAAGGATTTAAAACCTAATACATACATTAAAATAATATTTTTAGTGCAATTTTAATTTCTCATAACAACAATACATGGATATTTTCCAGTGCTGCTGTTAGTAAATATATAAATTGAGGAGCTGCTGTGTAAGTTCCTGGAGCAGTTCAGTTTCAGTTATGTGTTTGCAGAGTAATTCATCTGAAATTACAGATATTGGCTGTGGCATTTGTCACTTTGAAATCCAGGGATATGTTTTCCATGGATATAATCCAACAGGGGCAGGTTTGCTGCTGAGCCAGCCCTGAACACAACTGCACTGACCTTGCTGTGATGCCTCAGGTTTAGCTTTTCTATTTTTCAGATTCTGTGCTGCTTTAGTGTGTAAGTGTAGCCTTCATATTAGGGGATGGTGAGCTCTCTGCACAGAGTAGGGAGACAAAATTCCTGCTC